GGCGGAGGATCGAACGAACGACCTCCAACTCTCTGGTCAGATGGTTTATTCACGTAACCATGAACCAGATTGTTAGTGAAAATGGATTTTAAAACGTTATAATAATGTTTTTTATCCCATGAAATTGCATAATCTGACAAAGAAATATTTGATTGTCGTCGAGAGGTGCGCTTGAGTACATTCGGGGACCCATTCGTGTTATTCCCGGGACCAGCTGGATATCTTATTGGAGGTTACCGAAAGGGGACCCTAACCAGTGAATAATCATTACGTCACTGTCCAGGAAGACTCGTCACCACTCGCCCCTTTCCGTGTGAAATTGTGTGTGTGTGAAGAAATGTGTGTGTGTCGTGTGTGTGTGTTGTGTGCACTCAGCAATTTTCCAGCTATATGGCGGCGGTCTCTAAATAATCGAGTCAAGGGCAGACAATCCAGTGATCAACATCGTGAACTTTGGTCTACGTAATATTGGGATACGATGACATGTGACAACCAAGTCAGCGAGCCTGACCACCCGATCCTGTTAGTCGACTCTTACGACAAGCATGGTTAACTTGAAGACCAATTCTTGAAGGACCATTTCCTTCTTGAATTCACTTACAAAATATTCTATTCAATATGGTCAGTTGATGAGCAATAAAGCAATTGACTGTATAAAGAAAGCAAAAAACTTCTCAACATAATTTATTCAAAAATGTGAACAGTGTCAAAAAACATTTGGGAATATATGGAATATGGACATATCGATCAATAAAACAATGAAAATATACCTGTATTAATCTTGTGAAAAATATGACAAAGTCAACCATGGGAAGGAATGTCTCGTGATTTACACTCAACAACAAAAGTTAGTGCAGGGACTCTCCCTAACACGAATTCCTGCATCCGTTTAGCCTAAATACTGAAAACAGAGAAAAGAGGAAAGCCCATAGTGTCATAGACATTTACCACTCCTGTAGACACACCTGTAAATAAAATACCAGAGCGATTCTGGAACTGGAAACGACGAGCATGGCGTCTTGCAGGTGTAAGGGACGCAACTCTGCACAGGGTAAGGACCTTAGGCAACAGGGTAACGACATTTCGCAGTGTCAACAATTTTGTACATAGGAAGAATAAAAATTTATGCTTAAAAATAATGGGGGAGGGTCATTGATTTTGTACATGACATGCAGGGGGTCACTTACTTTGAACATAAATTTCAGGGGGGTCCTTCAAATTGTACATGTTTCTCCATAAATATCATCATCCACCTAGCCATAAATTGTGAACGGTTCCCAACTTTACACTGGCCTGTCTTGACAATTTGGTGTCTCCTGTGTATAGAGGATAGATCAACATGATGATTAGACATTGCAAAGTTTTAAGTTATCAAGAAATTGGTGGGATCCCAAACTTTTGTTGTTGAGTTAATGAACACAATGCACATTAAACATTGAATCTCAGGTAGGTGTGACCACTCATACCCTAATTGTATAAATATAGCATATAAAAATAACTGAGACAGTTCACACTTGGATCTAAATTTGAATTAAAGTAATTTTTGCCGACATGAGATTTTGGTTGTTTATGGAACAAATGCATGTCAAAGTTGAAGAGTTGAAGTAAGTGAGGTAGATCCGTATGGAGACTTTGTTTTATTTGCTTTCCAGATCCACTAACCTCAAACATATTCCCAAACAGGGAAAAATAAATCTGTATTGCAAGGCCATTTTGTATCAATTAAAAACAGAATCAATGCATAAATATAAACTCTGTACTCAAATACAGGTTTCTATTTAACAGACTTGAACCATTGACACAAGTTACTTCTTATTTCCATCTTTCAAAAAACAACAACCTGAAATCCTTTTAAAAAGTCCTTCTGAAAACATGTTTTTGCTTTTTGTTACACAACCTACCAACTATATTTGTCAGTAGTAAAATCTGTAAAGCAAGAAGTCTAGATCTGGTCAGAGCCAATTTTGGCAAATACAGTAACAACCTTCGGCTATGTTCATACAAATAAAGACTTGTAATTGATGACAATAATCTTCTTTTGGAACTATGGAACAAATACTACTTAACACATATAATCGATGGGGGTGGCTGTTTCAATAACTCACCATACAAACTGACATCTGCTTTGAACATCTTTTAGCTTCATTCCAACTTTAATAGACCTGAATAAACATTTCAAAAGCTCTTTTAATGTTAACAGGAATACTACCAGGAATATTTTGGTTCCCTATCAAAAGTTGTGTTGTTGATCTATGAATATCTGTAAAAAGATAAACTGATTAGTATACTTCTATATATAACATTTCTAAGCTTATATGCTACAGAAACATGGCAAGCAAGATTATCACTGAGCAACTCAACATGGAATACTTAAACAGATTTAACAATATGTTTAAATGTAGTGTCAATAATACACTCTCTTCTCTCTTATGGAAATGATGTAGTTTAGTGTAACACAATCACATTTATTTGCACACAAATTCTTACAAATTGGAAAGAGGATGCATTATTCCAGAGAACTAGTGTTTCAGAGTGTACACTACACACATGCTGTGAAACACTGACCGCTGGGAACAGGTGCTGGAATGAATTGGTCACTTGACTCAGTATATGACATCAGTATTGCATGAATTGTAGTATGCTACAGTCATACAGAAATATATTTATTAAATATATCTGTTATTGCTTTTCACATTTGAAAAACAAATGAAAAAATGCATGGAAAAATCAAATATAGAGCTTAAAACTTTGCATTCTTCCTCTTTCAGCCTGACTAGTTGTTTCATGTGTTCCTTTGATTCACTGATCCACCAACCCAAATTTTCACAAATGTGGAAAAATTCTTTTAATTACAAAAAAATCAGAATGATTCTGTGTTTAAAACTGTTCCTGTTACTTGCAGTGCCGGTTCCTGTGAGAAGGGAATTCACCTAGCAATCAGAAATTTAAACAACACTTTTGAATGTTCTATTTCTTTCCTTCTTTTCTCATGACTACATCAACTGTAAACAGTTATAAAATCAATTTCATGATTATTATTTATATTATAAAATATCTGCATTATGTCCAACTGTGAAAAGATTGTGATAGGTTGCAATATACTGTTTATGAGTGAGGTTTTATTCCACCTTTAGCAATATAATAGCAATATTGCGGCAGGGGACAGCAGCAATGGGCTTGACACATTGTACCCATGTGGGGAATCAAACTCGGGTCTTCGGCATGATGGCGAAGGCTTTAACCACTAGGCTACCCCACCGCCCATGCCGTTTATGACAGTATGGAGACTATCGCTTGTTTTGTCACTTCACCGTTGTCAGGGTATGACTAATAAATGATTGATCTATACTGAGTGAAGTGAACTATTGCACATGTATCATGTCTTAATTCAAACCTACATACAAAACAACAGGGGTGGAAATAACCCATTGCCCGACGTCCGAGTCCAGTGTTTTTTTCTGTTGGGCAAGCAAATTTGTATATCACACTGTACCGGTGTCCAGTTGACTTTCCAATGTTAATTATGTTGTTTATTTAAAAAAATCAACAAGAAAACGTCCGATATAGTGGAAAAATTATCAGGGCAAGTGATTTTACATGTGCCACTGTACCGGAGTACACTAGCAATTTTAAAGTTATTTCCACCCCTGAACAAACATCAGACATTCTCAAGACAATAAAATCTATTCTCCCCAGGGAGCTGAGGGTGAAAATAATAACAAAATATTCGCATGTGTCATATCACAATTAGTGGAAATTACATTTGCATATATAATACTGACAAATTAATAACAATCACACATTTCAGTCATCAGTTTCTGGTAAGTTGTCATAATGTAAATATGTTTACAAATCAGGGACTATTTTCTGTGTGTGGCAAATCAACATGGTCAAATTATCACATCACATTTATATTAAGATCATGAACATGATCAATGGAAATTTATTTGAGTTTTACTCCACTTTTAGCAATATTCCAGCAATATCAGGGCAGGGGACACCAGAAATGGGCTTCACACATTGTACCCATGTGGGGAATGGAACCTCCCTCTTTGGCGTGACGAGCGAACGCTTTAGTTTAACCACCAGGCTACCCCACCGCCCCAATTATAAGGTGTACCTTGTTTTCGAATCAACCTGCAAGTACATTTAAAATAAATTTAATTTTTATCCAGTGAATGAAGGAAATGGGTCAAATTATAGTCCGTTTGGCTCAAAAGCGGACCGATGAATTGCAATCTAACTCGAAAACTTTTAAACATAAAATACTCAATGAAACACTGATCATAAGGAAAACGTCAGACCAACTCTGAGAGGCGTTTGCAGAATTTATGTCCTAAAAATAAAAAAGTTGTTTAACAAACTATCATTAAAATATCGACACAGTTCACTATTTGTTACGAGGGAGGAGTGCAGAGAAAGGGACAGCTGGGTGTGCGAGAAAGGATGGAGACTGCACAGCACAGGTTAATGAATCAATAACTTTGTCGGCACTTGTGCACGTGCTTCTGTAACACCTGGCTGTCCCTTTCTCTGCACTCCTCCCCTCGTAACAAATAGTGAACTGTGTCAATATTATAATGATAGTTTGTTAAACAACTTTTTTAATTTTAGGACATAAATTCTGCAAACAAATCACAGAGTTAGGCTGATATTTTGATTATGATCAGCGTTTCATTGAGTATTATATGTTTATTAGTTTTTTAGTTACATTGCAATTCATCGGTCCGCTCTTGAGCCAAATGCACTTTAGTGCTCAACCAATGAGTATTGAGTTTACATCAGCAATGTTTTTTGTACATCATGTCCATAGCCTAGCAGTCTCTATTCATTAAACAATTTCAGTATCAGTAAGGGATTATTTTTCTATACTTGCTAGACTAAGCCAGTCGGTGGTTTATTTAAAGGTGGAGGAATACTGTCTACACAAGCCTATGTTGTACTGACGATAAAGTATGTTTAACCTGACAAAAATCACCTTCACACATTGATCAGCAACACCTTGCATATCTCAGGGATGTTTCATTCATCTAGTTGATCAGCCCTGTTATCTTGAAGACCCAGCCCCAGTCACAGGGCATCTTGTTCACGGGGATAGCCGGGATGTCGATGTTCATGCCGTCCATGCCGTTCCTGCTCCATGTGAAGTCTCCTTCGTAGCCAATCATGCTCACCGCTGTGCCGACCTCTGGATCAGGGGAGCCAAGGGTCAAGGTCGCACCCTCAGGCCAGTCCAGGACAATGGCGTACACAATTTGACCAGTGGGTCCATCACGGGAGGTGTACCTGTGTAAATGTACAGTGGTCAGTCATCAGTGGGTCAGATATATGGAACATTGAAGAGATTTCTGACACAAAACAACCTTTAGGGCTGCAAGATTTACATAATTAAAGAATGATCAGAATATTTAGAAGAGACAAAGATGAAAGAAAATGGCTGAGTAATGGTCAAAAGAGTTCTGAATGGTGATGGTACAAAGGTTGAATAGGAATGACAAGTCTTTGTGGATGATCAACTTGTTTATTGTACAATAGCAACGTTTTGATATAGATACTTATAGTTTTCATGTTGTATCGGTAAAGTATCTATACTAAAACATCACTATTGTACAATAGCAACGTTTTGATATAGATACTTATAGAGTTTTAATGTTGTATACGGTATTAAGTATCTATACTAAAACATCACTATTGTACAATAAAGGTTGATCATCAACACTTGTCATTCCCATTGCTCACAACTAGAATGCCTCTCAAACAGTTACAAGGTTAATTATCAAGATAAAATTCAAAATGTTGCCAAACTCAGCAAATATATGTTGCCCCTACAAGCTCCATGCACAGCAAACAGCATTATATTTGGGAAAAATGACAGAAGATTGGCCGCAAAGATTTGAGCGCAGAGAGTCCTTGGATGGATGACCGTGTGTGACAGCTTGATTGAGTTACAACTTCATGCCTCACATGTTCATTAGTGAGCTTGTTCAAAGTTGCCTCTGACCAAGCAGAAAATGGGTACCCAGTGGGATGAATTATGTGACTATTAACCTACAGCTCACAGTCAGCTTGAGTTATCTGGGGTAATAATGGAAGTGGTTATTTTTGGATCTATTTTTGAGTTATAAATATTCTCATTATTATTAAATAGTTAATTGAAGAAATTTAGGTTCAGTGAGTGGAATCTCAGCTTCAAAGTGGTTTCTGAAAATCAGTAGTGGAAAAGATCTAGGAGACTCTAGAAGCATGGTTATGTTGCATGAGAAGATCAACGCTAAATTTTGTGTAAGAGTCAATAATGGTATCTTGTTCCACTGACATGATGTCCAAAATGATTCCTTATTATTTGGACCTGTACCTTATGGTCCCATACAAGAGTTATGTCCCTTCAAATATCAATCGATAATGTTTGTTGGCAAAATGCTTTGCTTCCCACACTGTGGCAGAAATAGACGAGAATTTGGCACCTAAAAATATTAAATTTGTAACACCACCTTTTGTCAAGTAGTATGGGATGGTATGGTCCATAGTACCTGGGTGCCCTTGTACAAAACAACCTTAGCGCTAAGACTACCTTTAGTCTATGTTAAGGTATGGGAGTTACGGTCACCTTAGAGCTAAGATCGCTTTGTACAACAGCACCTAAAAACAACCTTGGCGCTAAGACTACCTTAAGTCAATGTTAAGGTATGGGAGTTACGGTCACCTTAGCGCTAAGATGTACAACGGCACCCTGGCAAATAGCTGTGTAACTCATAACGCATACAACCTCATCTTACCAGACATTGGGAGTGATGGAATCGTTCTGGTAGACCCAGGGTTGGGTGGTGTAGATGGCCTCTCCGTTGACCCCCAACCAGGTCCCAAGGTCAAGCAGTCTCTCCTTGAACACAGCTGGAATGATGCCGTCTGGCTCCGGACCAATGTTGAGGAGGTAGTTGCCACCACAGCTGCAACAGAGCATCTTCGTCTACACATGGGCTTTAGGTTGAAACTTCGCTTTCTTAAAAACTAATTAGTATATACATTTAGATTTTGGCTCTACAGCCATACTGTAAAGAAAATAACATAGACATATAGATAATAAGCAAGAAAGTTTATCGGAAGTTACAAAAGCTAACCTGATCACCTCCACCATGTTGGAAATTATCTGGTCTGTGGTCATCAATTCACTAATCTTCATGTTGCGTCGGAAACCCCAGGAGATTGGGTCAATGGACGTCTGACACTCCCACTTGAAAGGTTGCAGTTTGTCTGAAGACAAATAAGTATTAGTGAGTGAGTATGGTTTTAATCGCTTTTAGCAATATTCCAGCAATATCAGCGTGGGGACACCAGAAATGGGTTTCACGAATTGTATCAAAATGGGGAATCGAACTCAGGCCTTCAGCGCCACGAGTGTTATGAGTCAGTCACATCTTCTGGGTGAAATCTGAGAAAGTCATCATCGTCAGTGACGGCAAAAGCTTCACCAAGCCCCTTGTTCCAACGTTTTTCGATTGTTTGCTGTGAAATGCTTTGCCATGCCATGTGGGAGGTAGTAATTGCATCTTTCACAGTGACAGTCCTCAGGAAATCCTTGGGAGTGAGTCCAGTTTCAATAGCACTATTCACAAGTCCTCTTCTGTAGTGAGACTTGTAAGCTTGTATGATGCCTTGATCCATTGGTTTGAGGAGAGTGGTGTTTTTGGGGAGAAGCACAGATGTAATCTTCCCGTCAGCATGGTCCATCAGCAGTATAGCCTTTTCCGCCAGATGTAACGATTGTACGTTCTCTCTGACTGCAGGGATAAATTTATGAAAAAAGAACATTCCTGGAATATAGCTGCAGTCATCCAGGCATTCTTGGAGGCGGCGTAGACAGCAAGTAAGGTTAACTGGTTGACAAGGTGGAGACCGCGTGGATTCTGCGAAGTTCCAATAATGAGGGGCTTCAGCTTATGCTTTCCAGTTTGGTTACTGGTCAGCAAAACGGTCACGCATTGTTTGGCCTTCTTGAACACAGCTGGATGGTAATCTTCTGGCATGGCCAAGGTCTATCTGACAACATCTTATAATCAGAGGCCCAGATAAGCTGCGTATACGGGTAAAATACGAATAGAATAAGCATTGAAAAATAATTGTTGCGTACCAATTACGCATTTAAAATGTTAGATACGAAGAAAGTTTAAAACAAATGCGTACAGAATATATTTATAAAACCGCTTGCGTAATGAAAAAGACATGGATTGCTATCAAGTTGTACTGTTAGTATAGGACAAGTGTTGTACTGTCAGTATAGGATGAGTGATTTTTTATGAAATCATTTCCATTATATCTAAGTTGGTTTTGATTAGGTATGACATAAGGCAGAACCTACCTGCTTAGTAAACTTACTCAATAGTATATACTTAGGTGAGTAAAATGACTGAAATACGCACATATTTGAAAGCAGTGGGTAACGGAAAATGAAATACCCCCTCAACATTCATAATACCCACTCCCAAAAACTACAGTGGGTACTGTACCCACATGAGCTAAATCTTATCTGGAGCTCTGTATAATACAGCCCAGTTTCGTAACATTATAAATTTGTTTAAGTTCCTGGCCTTCGGACTCAATCAGCTGCTGCAGTTCAGTCGGATAATTACTTGCTGCTTCCTGGTCTACAGATCGACGTTCTCCAGTCACCGAAAATCACTTTATTCCATGACACTGTTGGAAGAGCTGGCCTTGAAAGAGTCCTCAGATCCATGAATCGGTCTTGAAAACTTCTGTATTTTCATAGTCTCCCCAGCGATTGGTGTGCCATCATGTCGAGACTGAGTAAACCATGAACACAGAGCTTTGTCCAGCATCGTGTAGTATGCTGTCTAAGCCTTCTTTAAGATAAGACCCCCGATATCTTCCGTCTCCATCACGAATCCCTTTAACGTCTCCTCATCTTTTAACCAACCCCTTAGGGTGCCAGTGCTTCGACTGACACTAGCCTGTGACTCTCCTTTCCTAACTCTCTTGATGAGGGCCAATTTCTCCCCAACTGTATAAGCTTGTCGTTTGTTCTTCGTAGAGTGAGTGAGTGAGTTTGGTTTTACGCCGCTTTTAGCAATATTCCAACAACATCACGGCGGGGGACACCAGAAATGGGCTTCACTCATTGTACCCATGTGGGGATTCGAACCCGGGTCTTCGGCGCGAAGAGCCAACGCTTTTAACCACTAGACTACCCCACCGCCCCCGTTCTTCGTAGATGCCAAGATGAAATTCACATATGGTACAGAACAACTGCGACCTGAACTGTTATACCAAAATGATTTCAGCACTCACTTCTCCTACTTTGAATGTGATTATTACAGTTTAATTTAATACCATATACTCACAAAAGAATGGATATACACACAAAAGAACGGATATACCATATACACCCAAGTGACTGGATACACCATACACACAAAAGTGAACGGATATACACACAAGTGAATGGATATACACACAAGTGAACAGATATACACACAAGTGAATGGATATACACACAAGTGAACAGATATACACACAAGTGAATGGTTATACACACAAGTGAACAGATATACACACAAGTCAATGGATATACACACAAGTGAACAGATGTACACACAAGTGAATGGATATACACACAAGTGAATGGATACACCATATACACACAAGTGAACAGATATACACATAGGTGAATAGATATACACAGGTGTGAACAGATATACACAGATGAGAACAGATATACACAGGTGTGAACAGATATACACAGGTGAAAACAGATATACACAGGTGTGAACAGATGTACCTACGTGGATTGAACTTATCCTGACAGTTGAAGAAGCCGCCATGGCGACATGTACAGTTGATTCCCCAGGCGTCATTGATGATCACGTTTTCCTTCACTGGGCTGCCACACAGAATGCACATAATACATGATATACAGCATTTTACATGATGCAGAAATGCAATACTGAGCTAGTGTTCAGCGGCACGAAAGCCCAGCTGGTGAGTGAGTTAGTTTTACGACCCATTTAGCAATATTACAGCTATGGCGGCGGTCTGTAAATAATTAAGTCTGGACCAGACGAGCCAGTGAATAACATCACGAGCATCTATCTACACAATTGGGATACATGTGTCAACCAAGTCAGTAACCCTGAGCAGCCGATCCTGTTAGTCGCATCTTTCGACAAGCATGGGTCACTGAAGATCAATTCTAACCCGGATCTTCACGTGTCCCAGCTGGTGACCTACCTGTCATTGTACATCCAGGCAAAGAACTCCTTCGACTGCCAGTAGGTGTCCGTGGCCTCCCAGTCTCCGTCTGAGTGTATCATGTCGGGCAGGTACGTGTTCACAATATGGTACAACTCTGGCATAGTCTTTCTCTGAATAAGCAAAAACATATTGTAAACATTAAAAATACCACAGCAAAACAGATTTGCTTTTTAACAAATTTTCCAAACCTTTTCATGTCATTAATCAACATGTTCAAGTGTCATCATGCAATACACATGTTTGTCAAGCAGACTACGTCAAAACTTTCTTCCATAATTTTTATCAGATAATGTCTTGACTGTGCACCAACATTTTGTTTGAGGAAATGTTATATGACGTTTCAAGATTGATTGGTTGTTGTTTAACGCCGCAGTCAGCAACATTCCAGCTATATGACGACAGTCTGTAAAAAATCAAGCCTGGACCAGACAATCCAGTGATCAATACCATGAGCACTGTGCTATGCAACTGGGATACGATGTCATGTGTCAACCAAGTCAGCGAGTCTGACCAGCCAATCCCATTAGTCGCCACTTTTGACCAGCACGGGTTACTAAAAACCAATTCTAGCCCGGATCTTCACGGGTATGACCTGTGGTGAGGGGTGGAATCTTGTTGGTCAATGGACATATAAAGGGACATAACTCTGATTTCCCAGTGCTGGTGCAACACTTGTGAAATGCCAGACTAGTTCGGCAAGGGTTGGAAATTAATTTTCATAGTCAGATATTTCACTTGCATTGGGAAGATTCCCTACAACATTATGAACAACCTTTAAAAAGACTTTGATCTTTGACACATTCACGTGGACATGAGGCTGTGCCAGGTATAATGATGATATCCCCACATTTCATTGCTCTACAGTAATTGCTTCTAAAGTTATCAGACGGCTATCTACCACACAAACTTTATTTACGGATATGACCTTGACAGTGAACTGGACTATGACCTTAATAATGTCCTTGACCTATAACAGAAGTGATGAATGCATCCAAATATTTGCAAGGGATGATATTAGACATGGCTACACCGCTCATTACATTGATAAGAACTTACAGTAGTGTTGGGAATTGGTTGAAATTTCACAATTGATGATTGCTTCATGACCAACGAACAATCATCGAAAAAAATTGGTTAGCGTCATTTTTCAGATTTTCCTATCCAACTTGTTATTGCTGATAGGTATAACATGATTCAACTTGCTACTTTTAAGTGATGACTAATATATCATGGACATAAACTTCCTGGAGTCTTAGAGAAATATTCAGTCATGACTTTTCAGTTAGTGAAGTCAGTTTTCTAAGAATTAAACACGTTTTCAGGCCCTGACAACTCCGAAGATAAGTTACATCGTCAAGTGTTGCAAAGACTAAAACAGTAGTTCCAAAATCGTTTATGTTCGATTATGAGAAAATGTGATCGATTGCTTGGTCGTTTGGTCAGTGCGACCAATCTTCAATTATTTCAATTAATCGGAACACCACTAGCTTACAGTCACAAAGTTGTTGGTGGTGAAGTTATTGGCTTGGTCTTGGAGCCACAAAGGGTTGAACCACTCAAACAGGGAATGATACAAGCCAAGTTTCAGGTCAGTCTTGTTTCGAAGAGCAGTGGTAAGCTCCCCTGTAAACAAGGGAAATATGTTGTAAATATACAGCAATCAACAATCTCATAATTGCATAACTGAACAATTCTGTCAAACATTTTATGCTGGAGAGCGGGTGACTGAAAGCTTACTGTCACAGCGACTATATTCCATGCTGTCTGTCCTTTGTTCACTGTCCTTTGTATTTCATGTGAGAAGTTTCTGCCCAAGCATGTAAAGTTTACAACAACTTCGTATGGACTTATTAGCAGGTCAGGGGGCACTTTGTTTGTTTAATTCTTTGACGTGATGAGCGAACGCTGTAACCACTAGGCTACGCCACCACATTCTTTTCACAAAAGCGTATTCACTTACATATTAGAGGTGCAGTACTAAGGGTGGCCTAGTGGTTACAGTGTTTGCTGGTCACGCAGAAGTCCCGGGTTCAATTCCGCACATGGGGATGACTATTAATTTACATTAATTTGTGTGCTTCCCCAAATGGCACATCACTTAAACCAACAACAGAAATATGTATATGTACAAGACTGTTTCTTGCATCATTCAGTCTCATATCATTCGTCCTGCTAATGTATATATTGCCTGTTTTCAATAATTAAATACAGACATTAAAGAGTGAGTGAGTGAGTTTAGTTTTACGCCGCACCCAGCAATATTCCAGCTATATGGCGGTGGTCTGTAAATAATCGACTCTGGACCAGACAATCCAGTGATCAACAGCATGAGCATCGATTTGCGTAACTTGGAACCGATGACACGTGTCAATCAAGTCAGCCAGCCTGACCACCCAATCCGATTAGTCGCCTCTTACGACAAGCATGGGTTGCTGAAGATCAATTCTAACCCGGATCTTCACGGGTAAGACATGTAAAGAAATGCTTATCTACACGTAGAAAAGGGTACACTGAGTAATTAAATAGTGGTGTCAAAAAAACATTTTAAGACTGTATTTATACAATAAACTCATGAGAAATGATGATTCTATTGTGTATATTTTACAGATACACAGCTGGTGTGGAGCTATGTCACCATGGATACCATCATAATGAACATGAACAGAGGTCAGGGGTATCAAGGTCAAGGACACCTACCAACAATATCTCTCGCAGGTCCAACATCGCCTGAGTTCCAGTTCCAAGACACATTGGACGGCCACATGGTGAACCCATCATGGTGCTTTGTAGTAAACACAATGTATCTGGAACATAACAAGGCACATATGCAATCACAATGATATCATAAAACATTTGATCATGATGATGTCAAAAAATGTTTGATCATCTGATGAAACATTTAATCATAATGTCGAAACATATTTGATCATGATGATGTCATAAATAGAGAATCTCACCCAAGTGTCTAGTGATATCAATTATATCAACACGACTTGATAAATATCCAAGACTTGCCAAGGATATTTTTACTTTTATCAACAAGTATTCATGTATTTGATATCAGAAGCCACGAGGGTGAGATTCTATTTATCATCAAAAATCAGTCTTCATTAGTTTTCAATGAGAAATGTACATCTCTGAACACATTACTGCCATTAGACCTCAAGTGCAGCAATGTCATAGCATTGTGATGTCATCAAGTTTATGACATCATAGCATTGTGACACGTGATTGTTGACGTCAGGGCATTGTAGTTTGAACAAAATCTCCTGTCAAAATGATATCTCCTTAGAGATATTGTTGGATCTCACACAAGCAATATCTCCAGTGGAACACAGTTTTGAATGATAAAATATTTGATCATGATTATTAGATAAAATAGTTGATCATGATGTGATTGATATTTTATCATTGTGATGTGATAAAATGTTTCATCATGATGTAATAAATACTTGATCATGATGATGTCATAAATATTTGATCATGATGTGATATTATGTGATCATCATGATGCAATAAAATATTTGATCTTGATTTACCGGTAATAAATACTTGATCATGATGGAGTGATAAACATTTGATGTTAATTTCATGGTACAGAGATATGTTTGAAGATTTAGAATCAATGAAATGATGTTTTGCAACATTGTGTTATGCAGCGGTCAGAATAAACCAGTGGTCAACAGCATGAGCATTGATTTTCATTATCCAGCATGGTGATACAATAACAGCGTGCAGGTGCAATACAAATTTTGAGCAACTGTGTGTGGAGTTGAACAATGGAGCCTCTGACCCAGGGTCAGCTGCCTTGTCCACATGACCAAACTGGTTAACCGGATCAGGAAGCTGTGATATGGTATGAGGATGTAGCACAATCAACATGCAATCACTCACCATATCCTGTTAAATATATCACTTTCCCTCAACGCCAATCTTAACTTATACTTTTTTGTTTGTTTGCTGTGAATGAGTGAGTTAAAATGATCCATTGAGAGCCCTATTGCTGAGGTTCTATTCTAATCTGGAATCTCCATGTTTGCCATTGTTATACAATGTCTAGCCAGCCTCAACAAACTAATTATGAGGGTGGAATGAGAACATGCATTACACACCAGATATCATGGTGAACTTTTTACCCTCAACTGTAACCATGGTAACATTGTTATTTGTACCGTTTTTCAATGAGTCTATTTTAGGGACCATCCATAATTTATGGCGAGGTGTGTGATGATGATTTAAGGGGGTGGGGGTGGGGGTTGTCACCCTATTTGTTCTGGGGAGGGAGGGGGCTACAACTTTGTACACATGTACTAATGGGCTTGTAACTGAATTTGTACATGACATGCAAGGATGGGGGCTGCACTCACATAGAGATCTACCGTGAAATTTTGCTAAAATGGTGAAGTAGTTTTTGATAAACATGATAAATTCTGTCTAATTTGACACCCATTACCTCCTGAGAAATGTCTATCAGACAATTAGCATAAGGTCAGTTAAGATTATATTTTGTCTTGATTCTCATTATGAAATGGGTAAAAACATGGGATTTTATTTTCTAGTAGTGTGCATATATGGAAGGGGAATTCTAAGCAGAAATCTTCAAAATAATGATACATAATTATGACTTCGTCGATAACATCTACAAAATAAATAATCGAACTGTAATTTACTTCGCTCCTGAAGCCTGGAAAAGGTCCACCCATTCGTCTGCGTTGAAAAATTCTGCTCTAAACTGAGAAGCAAAGTCTCCATAGGTAAAATCATCCCTGTAGTTTTCCTGCATGAACTTCTCAACATTAGGGTCGCCATTCATCCACTGACTCCAAAACCACTCGGTGCTAAAACTGGGCACTGAATAAACTCCCCAGTGAATGAAGATTCCGAACTTTGATTCATCAAACCATTTCGGTAATGGCCTCGATTCCAGTGATTGCCAAGTTGGTTCATAACGTATGTTTTCGATGAAACCGACGCAAAGAGCTAAGAGGAACAACGAGGCAACGAAACCTGTGCTGGACGCCATATTGTAATCATGTGATCGGCGTTTGATAGTGGTCACGTGACTTTGTTTACCTTCCGTTTCCCAGTAATTTCCGAAGGGTCATATATTATTTCGTAAATAATCTTTAATTCTGACTTTCTGATTTCGTACCACACTCAAAAGAGGGTTGTTTCTGTTTCTAAAGCAACAGCAGAACCAAATCAAAACGAGGCGTGTTATTTCATGAGTTTAGCACTATAATATATGGGTCTTTTTTTACCCTATTTTATTTTCAGTCCAACGAGTCAAAGTGAGCTGGTGCTGTGGATCTGTGTCCGTCGTCTTGGAAAGAGTTCCTTCCGTCCCCCCAAGCCTAAACCAAACTCTAAACCTAACCCTAAACCTAAACCTAACCCTAAACCTAGCCCTAACTTAAATTTTGGACTTTTAATCATTTTGTGAGTTCTCTAGTAATTGTTGTGTTAAGTTTTGTTTATAATTCTAGAATATTTATACATATTATTTGGGATGGGGGAACGTGAGGAACTCTTACCGTCGTCTGTCCACCCATCCATTTGGAACACCCACAGACAAAATAATGAAACGACTGAATTGAACATCAACGAATGTTTTGTTCATTCTGAAAGAAATAAAATATAAGCCTCAGCCTTCCAGAGCTATTCTGAGTTTCTCAAAGGACATCAATATTTCACATTTTTCGAAGACATTCAAACCGCCTGCTAAAAATTACTACAAATAGGTTTTTTAAAAGGTTGATATTGCAACTTAATCGTGTATAGTTTTGTTGTCATACAGGCTTCAGACAGTATAATTTATACAAGCGTGACTTGGCCCATTGACAATCTGAGGCGATCTTTGCACGGTCCAGAGGCCCAGAATTAATAGATTTGTTCTTGGTATCCGAATGTCGAAGAAGTTCCCAGATCTGCAGTTAGGAACTTCAAAATAGGGATTCAATGTTTTCGAGATAAAGAATTACTAACACGACGTACCAAATTCCCACAGTTCGGCATTCCCAGCGGATACCATAGAACATGTTACTCGCTTGTATAAAGCGGGGTATATTGAAAATAATAGAAGAGAGCTCACTCAATTATTATTATTATTATTATTATTATAGGATATTTATATAGCGCACATATCCACGCAACTGGTACATGCTCAGGCGCTGGCACCTTTTTCCCTCGATCATAGGATGTCAATCTCAACGGCACATCATATTATATAAATCCCAACAACTCTTGCGGCGATAAGGCGCACCGAGTTATTGCGGCTTTCCCATTCTTACGAGGTACCCATTCACAGTTGGGTGGACTGGGACACATATAGTCACAGTACTTCGTCCAAGTTTTACTGCACGTTGCTGTACCTGCGACTTGGTGTTTGTACGTATTCATGTGGCCACCATCTGGTCATTTACCAACGGATTCGTGGGGTTTTTTAGTGCACAGGGTTGTGTACTCTACACTAGGGGTTGTGACAACACTGAAAGAATCTGCTCACAAAGTTGACTCCAACATTTTCACACCCGATCACTGGTTGGCTCGATCCCGGCATCTCAAGCGGAATCACTAGCCTGGACAGCTCGCCCACCACACCCCCATAAGAAAACGACATTTATATGTGAGGTAAGAGAAATTATGTAACATCTACAATTTACATATTCAAACTGGTAATTTACTTCGCTCCTGAAGCTTGGAAAAGGTCCACCCATTCGTCTGCGTTGAAAAATTCTGCTCTAAACTGAGAAGCAAAGTCTCCATAGGTAAAATCATCCCTGTAGTTTTGGTGCATGAACTTCACAACCTTAGGGTCGCCATTCATCAACTGATTCCAAAACCACGCACCGGTAAAACTTGGCACTGAATAAACTCCCCAGTGAATGAAGATTCCGAACTTTGCTTCGTCAAACCATTTCGGTAATGGCCTCGATTCCAGCGATTGCCATGTAGGTTCATAATGTATGTTTTCGATGAAACCGACGCAAAGAGTTAAGAGGAACAACGAGGCCACAAAACCTGTGCTGGACGCCATATTGTAATCATGTATATTTCATCGGCGCTTGATCGACGTCACGTGACTTTGTTTACTTTCCGCTTCCCTGCCTCCTCCTAGGCGGAAACAGAGTTGACAGAGGGTTGTTCCTGTCTGACTAAACAGAACCAGATAAAAACGAGGCGTGTGAATTTATGAGTTCAGGAAAAAATATGAAAGGACCAAATTTCAGAAATGCATGGTTACACGTACACAAACAAATATATGGATCTTTACTCTATTCTTTTCAGTCCATCATCATTGAAGTGAGCTGGCGTCATCTGTCCATCCATCCATACTGAACACGCAAAGACTAAATATAAAACTTTTAGACGACGCAAAGAGTTAAGAGGAACAGCGAGGCGACAAAACCTGTGCTGGACGCCATATTGTAATGATCATCGGCGCTTGATCGACGTCACGTGACTTTGTTTACTTTCCGCTTCCCTGCCTCCTCCTAGGTGGAAACAGAGTTGACAGATGGTTGTTTCTGTCTGACTAAACAGAACCAGATAAAAACGAGGCGTGTGAATTTATGAGTTCAGGAAAAATATGAAAGGACCAAATTTCAGAAATGCATGGTTACACGTACACAAACAAATATATGGATCTTTACTCTATTTTTCAGTCCATCATCTGAGCTGGCGTCATCTGTCCATCCATCCAAAAGAAATTTTGAGATGATCCCCGACTGTGAAGCATTTCGAGTCGGGGGTCATCTCAAAATTTCTACTTATTTTTTAATCTTTAAATAATCCTCGCAGGTTTCCAATACTTTCCATACAATAGTCTACATAAGAGAGAGAATTGTATGGATGTCAACTTTATTAAGAGGAACACAATGTTTCGGAGTAGCCTATATACTTACTCCTTTATCAGGCTGTATCACTTCTAAATGTCATTCAAAGATTTAATAGTGTACATATCATTTGCATTCATTCTTGAATAACAGGGGCGTAGGAACAGGGGGGCGGGGGCTTAGCCCCCCACTCTTTTCAAGACGAAACCATATCTACCTTACCATAACTACAATTTCATTTTGATTTTCAATACTTTTCATAAATTAGCATCCTACGCCCCTGAACAAAAACACAATATTCTCATAGAGCATACTCTTCAAATGTTTAGTAAATGTGGGTTTTGGAAAGTCTGAAATGGCAACTTAATTGTTTTCGGATGGTTTTAGTTTTTGTTTCTATACAGGCTTCGGTGAGGTGTAATTTACAGAAGCGTCACTTGGCTCATTGGCAATATGGGGGGAATTTTTCACATGACAATAGTTCCTGCGGGATCCGACATCCCCCAATGATATGTTTGTTCTTTGAATCCGAATGTCGACAGGGGCGTAGCTGCCATTACAAGAAAAAGCCCGGGCTTACACATGATTTTTGCTAAAAAGGTTGGACAAGCCCTGAGTACTATCTAAATATAAAGCTTTGCAACCTATATATTGGGCTTACACGAATTTATTGGCTTGCTACGCGCCTGGTCGAAGACGTTCCCAGCACTGCAATTAAGACCTTCAAAACAGGCATTTCAAATGCATTAGAAATTATTTGGATGAGGGTGGGATAAGTCATGTGACTCTTAACCTTGTAGGGCCTCAAAGGCAACTTGGGTTATCCGGGGTAATAATAACCAGATTATATTTGTTAGCGCTATAAGCATTCACCTAGTGAATGGAGATTAGGGCATTATAAATGCACTTTATTATTATTAATAATAATTGAATAACATAACTTCATTTCGTTCGTAAGCTCTTTACCATGTTCATATTGATACATATATAGACATTTGTGATTGTGTGTTGTGTTGTTTTGTTTGTGATTGTGCGTGCGTGCAAGAGGGAAGGGTACAGGGGCGGATGCAGCTTTTTGAGAAAGGGGGGTACACACTTCAATTCACGCACAAGAGTTTCAATGGTCATTTTATAAAGTTTCAAGACGGGGGGTGCGTGTGGGGTTGCCTCTCCCCCTCTCTCTCTCTCTCACACACACACAAACACACTAGTGTTGTGAATTGGTTGAAATCTCACAATTGATGACTGGTTCAATACCAACGACCGATCATCGACAAAAATTGGTTCGCGTCATTTTTTAGATTTTCCTATTCAGGTTGTAGTTGCAGATAAGTATAAAGAAAAAACATTTGGTTCTCTGTTGTTGTTTTTTGAAACTGCACAAATTACATTTGCAAATTTCACATCCAGTGTAAAATGATTCAGTTCCAGTGTAACATAAACTTCCCAGATTCTACAAGAAATATTCAGTCATGACTTTTCAGAAAGTGAAGTGAGTTTTCTTAGAAATAAACACGTTTTCAGGCCCTGACAACGTCCTAAATATGTTCTATCATCAAGTATTTCAAACTCTATTACAGCGGATTCCAAAATCGTTTGTGTTCGATTATGAGAAAATGTGATCGATTGCTTGGTCGTTTGGCCACTGCGACCAATCTTCGATTATTTCAATTAATCGGACCACCACAAACACACACACACATACTCACTGGATCCGCCTATGGGGTAAAGGAAAGTCGTAAAGTTTATTATCTGTTGTTTTCATTCACGGAACAATTAAATTCCGATTGAACTTCAATATGCAGTGGTAGACGTACGTGTATTGTCTCCATTAGTTCCAAGACCAGTTACACGGGTACCTCTCTCACGGGCGCAACCAGGTCTCCGGGGATGGAACCAGGTCTTCCGGGGGACCGACGGACAACGAATTTATCCTAATTAAACTGTATTTGTATGCCTCATGTGTGCATGCTTTGTTCCGAAGTAGTAATAATACCACAGTTCAGCATCTATCCCCATATTCATAGCAGTGGACGACAGAAAACAAACAGAGTTATTCCCCCTTGATCTTTTTCATTCGAACAATATCGTAAATGTTCGGAGCTACAAAACACATTGTGTAGTTCGGAGACATTCGTAACTATTCGTACCTGTATAATGCGCCATTATTATAATTGCCAAGAATCGTGGCAAACCAATCAAATCGCTCGTAGTAAAATGTGAATGAGGACATACAGTTTCTTTGCGATTATCGATTTTCATTATTATTTCCGTGATTATATAATTATCTTGTTACTGCTATTTGTTAACGACATTTACTTAAGGTGACTTTCCTGTTGTATCATAAATTTCTAGAAGTAGCCATGTTTGGAAATTCAGAGACTCAGCTATCTTTCCTTGGAGATAGTCCTAGACAAGGCCCAGTCGTGAACATGGCCACGGGAGGGGTTCGAATCGCCATCCGACTTGCCAGAATGACACGAGCAGTTACGAATGGTTCGCAGAATGTTTTCCAACGTCATGCATTTGAGTATGATGGAAATTCGAGCGGAGAAGGTAAGAAATCAGTGTATGAAATAAGGCCCGTCAGACGGCCTGAGACGGGCTAGATTTCAGCTAGCTAAGATACATAGCGTTCACTGACATGATGTCAGTGAACGCTATGTATCTTAGCTAGATTTCAGCCGGACGGTCTAATTTTACAGCTAGCCAGCCCGATGGACGGGTGAAGAAATGCGTGCATCTTACACCTTAGTGAGATACACTGACGATAAAACGGTTTTCTTCCAATCAGAGTCTGACATTGTATAAGGTAAGATAGAGACACGCCGTAATCTCTGTTTATCACGCAGTGAGAGGACGGTAAGATCGCTCTGTGCAATGAGTGGCTGCGAAGGCCACTAACCCGGTCGTCCAGTCTTCACCTGTGGACTGGACATTGTACTTGTGTGAAACCATTGATTGTCACTCCCATTGTGCGACTTTAGCGCTTGACCGCTAGCCCGTGGCTACTTTCTTTTGGGCTTGGCTTGTGATTAATTAAATAATCTCGTTACCTGCCTAGCCAACTTATCTGATTAGTAAACTATAATATATACGCCTTCATGAGACACACAAGCAGTGATACTTTGTGGTCATTTGGTCATTTTGGTCTTTGTCTTTCTCCTTGCTATGGTAAGGTGTCCACATGCCATTTGTTAGATACCGCTAACCTAACCCGAAGAGTGAGTGAGTTTAGTTTTACGCCGCACTCAGCAATGTTCCAGCAATATCTCAGTGGTCTGTAAATAATCAAGTCTGGACCAGGTAATCCAGTGATCAACCGCATGAGCATCGATCTACGAAACTGGGATAGGATGACAATCGTCCACCAAGACAGCGAGCCTGACCACCCGATCCCACTAGTTGCGTCCTACGACAAGCACTGGTTGCTGAAGACCAATTTTGACCCGGAACTTCACGGGTGGCTATCATTATAGATTGATCTGTTCATATCTGATGGATCATAAATAATGTACTCTAGTTGTCATGTAATTCTAACGGTAATATAGACATAACACATCAAGAAATAATATTCATTCACTTTTTCCGTTTCATTATTTAAGTAAGTGATTGTTCTACCATATTTGCTGATCATATTTTAATGAACGCCCATGTTTCATATGGCTATAGTCAATCCGTGTCGCCATGATAGATTAACAATGATCATATGAAAACATCTAACGTTCTGTACACCTTTTTGAGCAGTATATTCGCATGGTACTTTAGAAACTCGCGTTCTGATCGATCTGTCATGTGGTACTGAATGAGGAAATACATCTACTGTTTTCAATTTACAGGTGAGGAGACACGTGAAGATCCGGGTAAGAATTGATCTTCAGTAACCCATGCTTGTAAGAGACGACAAATAGGATCGGGTGGTCAGGTTCGCTGATTTGGTTGACACCTGTCATCGCATCCCAATTGCGTAGATCGATGCTCATGCCGTTGATCACTAGATTGTCTGGTCCAGGCTCGATTATTTACAGACCGCCACCATATAACTGGAATATTGCTGAGTGTGGCGTAAAACTAAACTCACTCACAGGCGTGGCACTTTCATTCGATACCTGTAAATCCGGTGAGAGTCGGAGCACACGCTTCTTAATCTCAAGGGAGAACCGTTTGGATGGTGCCTACATGGTCCAGATTAATTATTTAGCTCTTATTAACTTCATCGG